AGCTTCAGGCACGAAACCAGCAGCAAACTTTTCTTTTCATATTTTATTGCCATGACCTTAATATTTTAGTGGAGAGAAGGCAAAACAAAAGGCTATTCATATGTTCACATCTTTGTATGAAATTATTTTATATTTTTAAAATATCAATTGAATTTGTAGACAAATTTGCATGTTTCATATTTTTTTGATAATTATGATTTTCTTTGCTGTGCAGAACTCAAATAACTATGCGATATAGATCTTATAATCGATTAAAGATCTATTCATAATTAAGATATACTATTTATAAAGAATCAGAGCCAGATTAGGTTGATTGATTGATAGAGGAATAGAAATACGAATAGCGAACTTTCTGCAATTGATTTAGAATTTGTATATTATAATATATAATGTAATTTTAATATTATAATCTAATAAAGATATACTATTTAGAAAGAAACAGAGCCAGTTTAGGTAAATACTATAATATTATAATCTATTTAAAATTTATTCACAATTAAGATATACCATTTATAAAGAAACAGGGCCAGTGTAGACAAATATAAATATGAATACCGGACTTTCTGCAATTGATTTAGACTTCGTTTATTACATATTTAAAAGGCAGCATATTCTAATATTCTGAAGTATTTTGTAAAAGAACTTCTAGAAAGTAAACAATGCTTTTCAAAACTGTGACTGTGTTTTATAAAAGAACTTCTAGAAAGTAAACAATGCTTTTCAAAACTGTGACACTTGGCTCCCTAGAGTATTGGGCGATCGCAACCCTCATTTTCAAATGCCCTGCCTTAAAGAGTGTGCCTTTTGGTGCAGATGTGTTGTCGTTCTGGCTCATGTCAATTGCCAATTGGCAGCTTATGTTTGTAAATTGGTATTTCCGCTGTGCGTCTCTCTTCTAGTTTAACTTACAAATATACATTTTTACTAATTTTTCTCTTCCCTTCTGTATCATTGCAGGTATGTATTGAGGTCAGAACGCGCTTTAAAACGTATTTTAAGCACACAGTTAAGATGTAAGTGCGTAAATCAAATTATAAATGCCACGCCCGCCACAGTCTGCGAGTATGTGTTGCGGCTTTATTAATTTAAGGCAATTAATTTAAGTTGTTAAGTGGCCGAAAAGCTGCAAACAATTTATAGCTCACAATGTACTCGTACAAGGCGCTTGAGTACGCCTCATTTCGAGTGTCTGCCGTCAGATGCAGCGGCAACAAAGGGTTAAGTGGTAGTGGCGAGCGGTCAGTGGAACATTTAAGTGGCCGCCAAAGCCCTCAACGCTTCGTTCGCTTCCCCTCCCTAGTTTCTCATTTTCGTTCTCATTTCTCGCTTTCGTTCAACTCGAACGTGCTTAATTGAAAGTTCATTGGATTTGAGGCTTCAGCTTCCGAAGAACTGACAGCCGTCCTCCTCTATTTACTTTTTCCCTTCAGTTCAAGCGAATTGCATTTTTGTGCAGCTGCAGCTGTCAGTTCCCAGGCCTCCTCCTCCCACGAGCAGGGCCCTCGCCTGGACCGCGTTGCATTATGGAAACAAAACGCAGAGCCGACTCATTTGTCGTGATGTGAGGAGATATTTGCAGAGCAGCTAAAAAACAGTTAAATTCCAAAAATCAGTTCAATTATGCGCCTGTCTGCCCTCAAAGTCGACGTCGCGCCCTTGCTTGCGCCATTTGTCGCGACAAAGCCCAGTAGTCGGGCTGTCCTTTCCATAATAGCCTCTGTCTGGCATGTCGGCTTGGCCCAAAGGGCAAACGGTCTGGATAATGACTGCGAACTAGAGAATGCAAATGATGTTGGCCGACTATGCCTTGTATTTTTGGCAGCTCACAGCTGCGGCTAATTGGCTGGGAAGTGGCTTGGTCCTCGTTTGATGGATTCTTGTTGTTCTCTCCTTGGCATGGCATTGAAATGTTTGCATTCTCAGAGAAAATGAAACAATTTATTATGTGTTTGAAATATTAAATGAAATATTATTGTGTTTCTAAAAAGGGATTAGAGCTGAAGCGAAATTATGATTCGGATACGCTTGTTAACACTTAACTTTAATTAAAGTTCTCCCTATCAAGAATCTGTGCCTCATCTACTTTATTTTGGAAATGTAGCCTTCTATGCTATACTCTCTAGAAATATAATCTGGTAATATTTAAGTGACTGCCGACTATCTAGGAGTATAAAAAGTTGTAGTGAATGTAAAAGAAAATGAAACAATTTATTATGTGTTTGAAATATTAAATGAAATATTATTGTGTTTCTAAAAAGGGCTTAGAGCTGAAGCGAAATTATGATCCGGATACGCTTGTTAAAACTTAACTTTCTCCATATCTGTGCCTCATCTACTTATTTTTTTAAATGTAGGCTTCTAAGATATACTCGTAGAAATATAATCTTGTAATGTTTAAGTGCCTGCCGACTATCTAGGAGTATAAAAAGTTGTAGTGAATGTAAAAGAAAATGAAACAATTTATTATGTGTTTGAAATATTAAATGAAATATTATTGTGTTTCTAAAAAGGGCTTAGAGCTGAAGCGAAATTATGATTCGGATACGCTTGTTAACACTTAACTTTAATTGAAGTTCTCCCTATCAAGAATCTGTGCCTCATCTACTTTATTTTGGAAATGTAGCCTTCTATGCTATACTCTCTAGAAATATAATCTGGTAATATTTAAGTGACTGCCGACTATCTAGGAGTATAAAAAGTTGTAGTGAATGTAAAAGAAAATGAAACAATTTATTATGTGTTTGAAATATTAAATGAAATATTATTGTGTTTCTAAAAAGGGCTTAGAGCTGAAGCGAAATTATGATCCGGATACGCTTGTTAAAACTTAACTTTCTCCATATCTGTGCCTCATCTACTTATTTTTTTAAATGTAGGCTTCTAAGATATACTCGTAGAAATATAATCTTGTAATGTTTAAGTGCCTGCCGACTATCTAGGAGTATAAAAAGTTGTAGTGAATGTAAAAGAAAATGAAACAATTTATTATGTGTTTGAAATATTAAATGAAATATTATTGTGTTTCTAAAAAGGGCTTAGAGCTGAAGCGAAATTATGATTCGGATACGCTTGTTAACACTTAACTTTAATTGAAGTTCTCCCTATCAAGAATCTGTGCCTCATCTACTTTATTTTGGAAATGTAGCCTTCTATGCTATACTCTCTAGAAATATAATCTGGTAATATTTAAGTGACTGCCGACTATCTAGGAGTATAAAAAGTTGTAGTGAATGTAAAAGAAAATGAAACAATTTATTATGTGTTTGAAATATTAAATGAAATATTATTGTGTTTCTAAAAAGGGCTTAGAGCTGAAGCGAAATTATGATCCGGATACGCTTGTTAAAACTTAACTTTCTCCATATCTGTGCCTCATCTACTTATTTTTTTAAATGTAGGCTTCTAAGATATACTCGTAGAAATATAATCTTGTAATGTTTAAGTGCCTGCCGACTATCTAGGAGTATAAAAAGTTGTAGTGAATGTAAAAGAAAATGAAACAATTTATTATGTGTTTGAAATATTAAATGAAATATTATTGTGTTTCTAAAAAGGGCTTAGAGCTGAAGCGAAATTATGATTCGGATACGCTTGTTAACACTTAACTTTAATTGAAGTTCTCCCTATCAAGAATCTGTGCCTCATCTACTTTATTTTGGAAATGTAGCCTTCTATGCTATACTCTCTAGAAATATAATCTGGTAATATTTAAGTGACTGCCGACTATCTAGGAGTATAAAAAGTTGTAGTGAATGTAAAAGAAAATGAAACAATTTATTATGTGTTTGAAATATTAAATGAAATATTATTGTGTTTCTAAAAAGGGCTTAGAGCTGAAGCGAAATTATGATCCGGATACGCTTGTTAAAACTTAACTTTCTCCATATCTGTGCCTCATCTACTTATTTTTTTAAATGTAGGCTTCTAAGATATACTCGTAGAAATATAATCTTGTAATGTTTAAGTGCCTGCCGACTATCTAGGAGTATAAAAAGTTGTAGTGAATGTAAAAGAAAATGAAACAATTTATTATGTGTTTGAAATATTAAATGAAATATTATTGTGTTTCTAAAAAGGGCTTAGAGCTGAAGCGAAATTATGATTCGGATACGCTTGTTAACACTTAACTTTAATTGAAGTTCTCCCTATCAAGAATCTGTGCCTCATCTACTTTATTTTGGAAATGTAGCCTTCTATGCTATACTCTCTAGAAATATAATCTGGTAATATTTAAGTGACTGCCGACTATCTAGGAGTATAAAAAGTTGTAGTGAATGTAAAAGAAAATGAAACAATTTATTATGTGTTTGAAATATTAAATGAAATATTAAATGAAATATTATTGTGTTTCTAAAAAGGGCTTAGAGCTGAAGCGAAATTATGATCCGGATACGCTTGTTAAAACTTAACTTTCTCCATATCTGTGCCTCATCTACTTATTTTTTTAAATGTAGGCTTCTAAGATATACTCGTAGAAATATAATCTTGTAATGTTTAAGTGCCTGCCGGTTATGAAGGAGTGTAAAAAGTTGTAGTGAATGTGAACGAAAGGCAAATAGGTCATATAGATATGTTTGACCATAAAACTGAAGTGATTTGACAGCTGTGTCGCGACAACGACCCGGTACTTGTAAGGCGCACACGTGTGCGCGCCGAAAAGGACATTAGGAAAAGCCGAAATTAAAAAGCCATCAAGGGAATATCCACAAGCCACATGTGACAGGCAAACAAGCGACATAAGTGTAAGTGTTTGCACTTTATCAGGATTTATCAGGAAATGTGCAAGGGATTAGCCCAGGCGAGCCTACCTGTCAGGGTCGGCTAAGTAGGCTGGCTGTCGGGGTGGTGGTTGGGCTGGAGAGCAGGTAACTGGCCCAACGGGAAAACTTCTATAAAATCCGAGCCCTCGACGAACAGTTTAGCAGTTGCACAGCAACCTGAATAGCGAGCACACGCATTCATCCGCACACTGATTTATCTGCCAGCAAGAAACTTGAGCCATGGCCGCCACCTACACTTGCACTCAGTTCGTGAGCTTCACCCAGCCCACCAGCTATACGACAAGCACGAGCACCACCTATACACTGGACGCAGCGCGCTTTGGGCAACGCGACCTCTCCCTGTTCATCGAGAGCCTGGAGACCATATCCCGCATCGAACGTGAACGTCATGAGCGTCGTCAACGCCGCCGTGAGCAGAAGCTGCAGCAGGCGAGGATGGCGGAGTTGGAGGTCGAAAGTCGGCGCAGTCGTAGTCCGACGCCCACCGCCGACGATGCTGTGGACGAGCCACTCATGTTTCTGGAGTCCAAGTGCATACCCTATGTCGAGTCGGAAGCCATATCTAAGGAGACACCCGACTACTACTCCTGTGACGACGAGGCCTATGGTAGTGGCGCTCACTCGCCACGCAGCAGCGTCACTTACTGCAGCTGCGGCGGTAGTGGAATCTCCAGTGGCAGCACAGACTCCACTGAGTCGGGCGTTTTTGGTTCCACACCGCCACCACAATCGGAGCTAAGCAGCAAACCCAAACATCGCTCGGCACGCGCACGCATAATTGACATGGTCCTGAAACGCGACAGAGCCCCTTCGGCGGAGGCTCTGGACCAGACGGTAGGGTGCGAAGATCTGTTGAATGAAACAATTCGGCAGCAGTATGACAATATGGACAAAAAGTCCCGACGCCGTGGCTTTGCGTGCATGCAAGGATCGCCCGAGGAGCGCTTCTTGGATAAAGCCCTGCGCTATTTGACACTGTGATGAGCGTGATCGAACAATAATAGCTTTACCTACTAATTCTAACTGTAAAACCGATGCCTTTTTGTTTATAAAACATATACATTAAAATTACTAAATACACTTGAAAGAGTTTTTAGTCGTACGTTATCGTCGGGCTACTTCCTATAAACACATGCGAAGGAGGAGTATTTTCAAAATAGCCTAAACAATAGAATGTTTCACATAATTTCTGAAGATCTCAGACAGATGTTATTCGCAAAACATCTTCTCACTACTGTTAAAAAGAAAAAGAACACATTCAATTCAGTGTTCATTCATTCAATTACAGTATAGCTCTAAAGCAACCTCTAGAGTCTAAACCAACGCTTTATTCATTAATTTAAGTGAGACTATAGACGCATATTTGTAACACAACAACTGATCCTTGCAAATCTTTTAGTTTTGGACGATCAATTACAGACTTATAATGTAAATTTACATTTATATACAAGTACATACATGTTAAAAAATGTATAAAGATAATGACCAAAATCATAATAGAATCTCTTGCGGGTTGTATACAATATATGAAGTTTTATTATGTTGTTATGTATATGTAAACATTTTTTAACATAAATATATCAAATTGCTTAAAAACAGTCTGTAATTTGTCGTCCTAAACTAAAAGATTTGCAGCGATCAGTTGTTATTTCAACAAAAACAATAAACGGTTGCAAAAAAAATATGTACACATTGCCATTCTATACTGAATATAAATGGACTTCCTAATTTGAAAATATTTCATAGATGGCGCAGCTAACTATCTTAATATGCATTGAAAATAGCAAAAAATGACTGCCGATATGAGGCGCTTAAGTCGAAATGCACCAAACGTAATTATTTTCATACGAAATCAACTCCTCATGCTAACAAAGCAAAATAAATGTAAATAATAGTTTATTTAAAACAAATTTGTAATTAAATGGAAACAAATAACCCAGTTGTCAGCTCCTGTTACCTATTATTAACTAGGCCTTGTAATTATGAGGAATTAAACACAAACTCATTGACCAATTGAATGCAAAATGCTTGGTCGCACTCTCCTTGAAAAGGCGCTCGTCAACTCGCCTAAAACTCTATGGTGGTTGACGGCCCACTGACACAGATGTCAACGTCGACTCCGGCGCATTATCTGCCTCGATTTAACGGCTGTCAGTTGTGGCTTCGCTTTGCGCTCCGACTAAGTGTTTTGTTTGAGTGAGTGTGTTCTAAAAATACAGACACCGGCCCTCTGCTCCTGGCAGCTGTCACAAAGCATCGTCATCGCCATCAACAACAACAACAACAAACGCAACCACAAATACCTTGTTGTTGTTGGCGGCAACACTTTACTAACCACAAAGTGTAAACTGATTTGCTATTGAAAGCCCACCGCCCCCGTTGCCCAACAGGCAAACCAACACCACCTTTCCACCTTGCCACCGCCTGTTGCTGTTGTGATTTAGTTCATCACTTACATCGCCGGTAACAGAAACAATGGCATTATGGTATGCCTAATCAATCAATCAATCAGCACGCACAGTGTTCCTCAAGTGGAATCGGCGCTGGGTGCGAAGATTTGAACCAAATTTAGACGAAAGCCAATATTGGATTTGTTATCGATTGCCTTGTTGAATGCGGAGGAAGATAGATCTTTAAAATGGGAGCACCTTTCATGAATAATAATTACACAACAAATTTGATTTTTTTTTTTTTTTTTGACAATCCTGAAGATTGAAAGGCAGGCTGAAGTCATTATTTTGACAAATAGAAAGCAAATGTTGGAATTATTGAGAAATAATTATTATTATTATTATTTTTTTTTTTTAATCTCTATTCTTTAACTAAGGTCTGTCCTAAGGAGAACAATTATTAAATTATATAGTAGCATTGGATTTGTTCAACCAAGCGTTCTGTCATGATGGATATAGAAAGGTATTCCTTGGCGCCACAAGTAACTGTAAATAAGACTAAACTCCTAGTTTAAGCTGTATTTGTATTTTTCTTTAAGTTTAATTTAAGTTATTGTAAATAATAACAGTATAATTAAAGTTTTACATTTATAAAAAAAGGAAAAGTAACTGAATGATACTTATAACTGATTGTGATTTGTTCACAAGAATTTGAAATATTTGGATTGAAGATGTTTATTCAAAAAATGATGTACTTGATAATTCATTTGCTGTAATTCTGAAATTTTTAAATATTATAGTTAATGCAAGTGTCAGGAGGGAATATATTTCTGAATATATTAGAACTAGAATATATACGTATAACAGCAAGTAACGGACTACAGGGTGACTCGGAGAGGGACGCATCCTTTGCAGTGCCTGACGCCATAAATCGGTGGGAGCTTTCAGTTGTTGCATGTTGTGTTTGCCATGCGCAGGCCACAGAGCTTTCCACTCCTGCCTGTGTGCCATAAAGCGCCCGAGAATGCCTCCGACTGCAGTACGCGCAGTGGAAGCCAGTGCTCGACTCGATTGACTCGATTTGGCCGTTGCTGTCGCTGTCGTTGTGGCTGTCGTAGTGGCTGTCGGCTGGCATAAGGCCCAGTATCTATCACAAGTTCGCTGGCGTCGCATATCGTAGCATACTTTTGAGCGCCTCAGGCTCAAAGCGGAAGTGCCACAAAATGTACACACGCCAGAGCGCATAGTGTGTGTGTCGCGTTCGTGCTTGTGTGTATGTGTGTGTGTTTCGCCTTTGTTGCTGCATGTCGCGCGCAATGTTTGCTCAAGTAAAAGCTAAATTTGATTAATTAATTTATTTAACGCGTGCTACAACAAATGTGAAAGCAAATTAAATGAAAAGTCAGCGGGGGAGGGGGGAGAGAAAGCAAGTCTTACAAGTGCAGCACGAATGTCGTGGGTCTAGGTGTGAAGTTCACACACACACACACACACGCACACACACACACACGAGTACACACATCTGCACCGCACCCCTCTAATCATCACACGCTGGTGCTTTTCACTCTTTTTTTTTTTGCTTCCTTGGAGTCGCGCGTTTCCAGCTCTCTGGCCAAAAGTTTTTGTCCGTTGACAATAAAATATGAATTGATGCGCGCGCTGCGCCACGAACTGTGTGTGTGTGTGTGTGAGTGCGTAAGAGTGTGAGTGTATGCGCTGGTGTTGGTGTGCGTGCGTTTGACATTTTTTGTAGTTTTTTAAGGTCATTCGCGTAGCATACTCTTGAGCGCGCGCCCCTACAAACCCCTTCATAAACGGTTTTGGCATGCAAAATTTAATCAAAATAAAAATAAAAACTGCCACAAACACACACATGCACACACACACACACACACAGGGAGAGAGGAAAACTTACTGGGTGTGCCTATTTTATGGTCGCTTTGCTGCAGTCGGAACGCAAATACATATGTGAATTGTGTGTGACTGTTTTATTGACTTGCGGTCAGAGCTCAGCTCATGCTAATTGAGTTTACTAGCGCGCTTGTGTGTGTGTGAGTGTGTGTGAGTGTTTGTGTGTGTGTAGCCAGCCTTGACTTTTCCATCAAATTGTCTGCCATATTTTGTCAACAAAAATTGTGAAATTTCAATTTCGATTTAAGTAGAATAAAATATTTTCGTATGTCCAACTATTTTGCACGCTACGAAATTTCCATTTGAAAAGATTCGAAAAGCCAACAACAGAGCCACCTAAATGCCAGCAACGAGCCATCTAATCATCTAGCAACAACTAACGAACTATGCTGCAATACGATCAGGTAAATGAGAGCGACAATTTGCTTTGTGTGTATGATGACGTTAAATCAGCAGCCAACACACACACACACACACACACAACTTTCACACCCGCACAACACATGCCTCCCTAGTCACAAACATGACCCAAATACCTAGTCAGCTTTTGTGTTTCTTTGCCGCAAACCTGGCGAGCTGTGTGCCGCTCGTGCAGTTTCCATAAATTCAATTGCTGTATCACTGCACAGACAATAACAATAACAACAAACAACAAACAGCACCGGCACCACCACCACCAACAACAACAACAACATTGACAACAGCTATAAGAACAACAAGAGCCCCACAATTGTCAACTAACGTCGTCACTTTGGCAACCTGTCCCCCCTACTCCCCTAATGGCAACTGCAGCCTCAGCCGCGGCAACATTCTCGTACACATATGTATGACTGCGATTAACTTTTGTCTGTTCGTCTGTTTGTCTGCTTGTCCCGGCCCCTTGCTTCTTCTTCTTCGCCCACAGCCAAGGAAAAATGTTAGTAGTCGCCCATTGTAGTCTCCAGCCCAGCCAGGCAGCTAGCATTGTTTGCACTTTTGTACGCATACATCTCAAGTTTTTGCTATGCACTTGAAACACTTTAGGGAGCACTCGGTGCACTCTCCACCTTAAATTTGACAGACAGATGGACAAACAGACAGACAGACAGGTATGCGACTAATGTGGGGATTGTAGTGGAATAAGCGCCAGCTATTTAATACTTGAGAGTGAAAACGCTTTGAATGAACAGTCAGCTTTGGATAGGTCAGGAATATAACTAGAACAACTACTTGTATAAATGAAGAAGGCAGCACTCTTAAAAGGTCATAATATGCAGGCAAAGGAAAACACATCTAAACAGTACTGCATTGATAAGGAAATATTTTATATCGATGCAAAGCTATCTAGTTTCAATAATAAATGTTGTATCTAATCTCTCCAATGCTGAACAATTAAGTAAAAGTTTCGATGTTTAGTACACATTTCTTAAAACCTTCGATTGTAAAAAGTCAATCACACTAAATGCTTTAGACTTTTACTATAATAATTGTAATGTGTATTAATAAAAAGAAAAAAAGATCTTTATCCTTTCCACACTATTGCAATTCTGAAAATATGGAAGAAACGCCAATCGTACTTATATTTAATTCGCAAGTGGCTCAAATTGGAACTGCTTTCGCCGCCTTCCAATTTTCTAAACTTTAATGCAATAACACTAATGCTGACCTAGAAATGTCGAAAAACTTCCGTGCACTCGTTTTCTTTACTGTTGCGCTCCTCTGGCACGAAACAAAGTTAACATCGCATTTAGTGCCAACAATTTTTCAACTCAACCTCATGTGCCGTCCTTTTTTTTGGGGCAAGCTACCAAGAGTATGATGACGACTGACAGAATTCGAAAACAGCAAACCAACCGTGCACAATAATGGCAAAAAGTTGGCAATAAGTTATCAAAATAAAAACTTTTACTTGCTGACTCAGCGGGCTTGCAGCCTCCCTGGCCTCCCTCCCAGCACTTGGCCATTCATACGCATAAATCGCAAAAAGACGCCATGACTTCGAAGGTCGCACACTTATTTGAGCCACTTTGAGGGAGGAAGGGCCTGTTGACAAACAATATGGAACCTAAGCTCTGTAAGACGGTGGCATAATGGACTTGTTTAAGTCACGATTGGAACCTGTTGAATGAAAAAATAATGTAAAATATCGATATTCACAAATATTTCAATTCAGATTAGATATAATGTTCTGTGGAAGCATCTACTATATACACACATATGAACTTTAAGTGTGGTTGTCTTTTAGAAACCCAGAGAGGTCTATACTTGTAGGTATAATAAATTTAAAATAAAACTAAGATTACATTCCAAGCCCATAGACTATGTTAATTCATAAGCAATACAAACCACAACATATTCATACTTTTCAGATGTACTCTTTGTTCAGATATCGACTTTGATTTATTAGAGAGCAATATTCTTATAAACAAAACAAACAACATACTTGTATTAAGAAAGCTATTTGTGCAAAGTAAAAACTGCTCACAAAGATAGCAACTTAACAATTATGCAATTTATTATTATTATTTATTCAGCATTCTATTCTATTGTTTTATTTTGTTGTGCTCTGTTTTGCAGCCACCTGAGAATGAGCTTCAGAAATCGCACGATCACAATCCGGCCGCCCTGAGCGAGCACCAGTTGCGCGTTCAGGCGTCCCTACAGCGCCTCAACATACCCGACTGGTTCCGACAATATAATCAAACCATAGCCCACTCGCCAGATGGCGCCACTGCGGCTCCAGGCGGAGGCTACAAGCCAGGCAACTTTACTCGCAAACGCACACAGGAATCGGGCCGCTGGCAAGGCCTCAACTCGAAGACGACCTCACTCAGTTCGCTGGGCTCGCAACGCTCCGATCGCAGTCCCTTGCTGCTCAGTCCTTCGGCGCACAGTCACCATGGCGGTCAGACTACGAGTGTGGCTAGCGGGGGCGGCGCATGCGCAACGCATGGCGTCGGCGCCACCCGCTGGTCAACCTCGCATCTGAACTCCACGCAGACATCGCCCAGCGTCTCGCAACGCGGCTCCTTCGCTCGCGGCGCCCCCATCAACTCCAGCTTCATGTCCGTCAATAGCGGCAACAGCGGCGTCCTGCGGAACTCCTATCGTCAGCCCTACCTGGGCTGGCGCAGCACAGAGAAGCTCTCACAGCGAACGCCACATGAGCGGTAAGTGCGACTACCTGTAATATAGATGTTCATAAAATTATAGCAACAGATTTAGTTTATTTAATTGCCGATGCTTTTATTAGGATAACACAGAAGTGTTACCGGGTGAATTTGTTAAATTAATCTTACATAGCTGAACAGATTCTATAATTTATTTTTTTCAACCACCAATAGCTGATTTCATCTCATTAATTTTAAAAATTAAGAATTAAATTAAAAACACAGCCCCCCTTCGCGATTGTCATGGAAAATAACTTAGCTGAAGTCACGTTATTTCCCAAAAAGAAACAAAAGAGAACGCTACAGTCGAGCAAGTCCGACAGTGAAATACCCTGCACCCAGACTGAGTTATATGCGCCCCTAGTAGAAGCAAAAAGTAGAAGAAGAGCGAACTTGATGCTGCAACTTGTGGCCGTAGTACTGGAGCGAAATTGTTTCGATAATAACTTTTCTTAGAATTGACAGATTTCAAAAACAGTAGATAATTGCTTATAAATTACGTTTGCAAAGTTTGGTTGTAGCTTTCAAAATGTGAACTGTATTGACGAAATTCTGTAGCGGGGAGAGGGGACGGAAAATCAAAAAAATAAAATAAACTGGTGAAGTCTAGGGAATAGGAGCGTCCACATACCGAGTGTGGTTAATGTGCGCTCAACGCTTTCCGAAATCCAGGCGTTCATCCAGACGGACGGACGGACGCACATCTTTAGATCAATTTCTCTTCTGCCTATTACATACTTTGCCCAAACCTAATACACCCTTTTTCCCCTACGGGTACAGGGTATAATAATGATTACAATTATTTCATTAAAGATAAACCTAAAACAAGTATAGCCCTACTCTGTAGACCAACCACTTTCCAGGCAGAAAAATGTTCAATTAAGAGCACTTGTAGCTCGAAATACTTAACCAATTCCACTTAAGACGCCAAAAGCTGTCACTCTAATAACTAATAACTCTTTCTTTGCAGGCTGGCCAACTCGTTGCTGGCCCAGCAACAACGCATATCCCCCACGCAGCGCACGGTGGCCACGTCGGCGTCCCCGATGGTGACCACCAACGGAGTGCGGCAACTGCAGCCCGTCACGCCGGAGATACAGAGCTCCATCAAGGAGGTGACCTCGGCCATTGTGCACTATGTGAACGATCAGGCGCAGGCGCAGCAGCAACACCAGCGCAGTCGCTCGACGAGTCCGAATTCGAGGTAGGCCTTGGGACCACACTAGATGCATTCGTCGATGCACAGAGCCCCAAATCCGCGTCCACGTTGTAGTAGTCGTCGTGGTCCTCTTCTTAAACTTTCTGTGTGGTGTAGTTGTCGCTGTCGTCTATCCATTTAGTCATTTGTCGTCCACAAGCACCCCCACCCATCTATCATCCGCACTGTTCCACCAAAACCATTTCATTTCCATTTCGATTTCAAAGTTTAATTTCTTTTGCACCAACCGCAACCCCAATCGCATCGCGTAGCTACCTGTAAAAACACCTTTCGCTGCTTCCGTGCTCAGACCACAACTCGCTCCTTGAGCTCCTGACAAGTAGCAGCCATCAACAGATTCCAACTGCACCATCACCAGCACCTGTCACCGTCCTGCTGCGTTCGAGGTAAGCCGCTGACTGTCGTTTCCGTCGCCCCTTCTTGTCGTCCTTCATGTGGCTAACAACTCCCCTGTGACTAAAACAGCGCCCAATCTGGGGCTACTAATACACACGTATGTACATACTTACATAACATTATAGCGCGGTTTATAGTATGTATGTATGGGTGCTGGCTACTAAACCACTAAAACCATAACTTGTTCAACTAACAACAAAAAAGCACTTGGCAGTTCAAAAGGCCAAAACTTTGCTGCTTCCTTTCGACCACAGTTTTTGCCTTTTCACTCCCGCAGATGGCTGAAGTGTTTCTTTTTAAGCAAAACAGCTGGAAAAAAATGAGACAAAGCTTTAGCAACCAATTGTACTCTCAGCTAGGAACGGTGTATATATTTTAAATCGATCTTTATCACTTGTGATGAACGTTCTGGTATCTGTGCGAAAATCCTTGCCTGCCAGTCGCTGAAAAATGTAGCCAATGGCAAAGATTGGAACCTATAAGCTCTTTGCTTTCAATCTTTGGAAACTTTAGAAATTGCATTGCTTAGAACTATGCCGATATTTATAATGATGCAGAGCTATAGAAACGATTTTCAGTCGTTCGAATAGAACAGCAATTAAAAATGTTCTCAATTGTTCTTCACAGCTCAACATAATTTATCATGCAGATAGTTTTGGAATTGGATTGATTTGAAATAGGTCTCTATAATAGGAGCTTGTTGGTAATCAATTAAGTTTAGATACCTATTTACTACTGATGTACATATTTTTTCGTAGATTTCGTGTACTTTTGCACATTTGATTATGGGTGTTTATCAAAATTCTGATAAGTGTTGATTGTAAAACAATTGATAACAATTCAGCTAGTTGATAAAGACGAATTCCGATTAAATACTTAAAATGCCTTCGAATCGATTACCAGCTATGCAGAAAAGATACTTCATTGCGAACAATTTACATAACGTAGAAGTTCGTATTTTACTACGTTTATTCGATAATGCTCTACTTGTATTTCTGGAATGGATAATAATCCAGTCCGGAATGGTAGTTGTACTTTGGCTTATGCTTTCTCCTTCTCTAGTGTTATTTTGATCTTTTCTGGTTCTTCAATTCTAAACACACATATCTGCGTATAATGTCAACATCACGCCCCAACTGCTCTTTGATGTTCATTTTTTCATGAATAGCAAGCCATGTGCCTGCTGAAATATTGAAATGATTGCAACTTGTCAATGTATTCTGAGCATTATACTTCTGTCAATCAATTTAATGAACTCCCAAGAGCTGTTCTCCAATACTTGGAGTGGTTTAATATTTAAAATGCAATCCTTGCAATCTGCACACATTTTATTATTTATGCGGCGCCATTCCTTTTTAAATAGATTTCTATGGATGCTGCTTCTAGTGCTGTCGATTGCGGGTCTTCTATTGACCAGCTTCCCACAATGTATCCATACAAATCAAATTGAAATTGATTTCATTTCACTTTCTTTGTGACCCATCTAAGTGAATTTGTGATGTGACAATGTCTGCGGAGGCGTTCCCCTATTAGTGTTACGCACACAACAGAGAAAAGGGAAGGCATTGATTGGCAGTCAGGCCCAAGCGCCTCTCAGTATGCAATTTAAATGTCAACAATGCAACTGTTGTCCCTCTCCTCCAACCCAACCCATTTGCACATTCTGCAATCAGCGAGCCACTTACCCGACCCGGCCCCTCTCACGAATGGCAATCATAATGAAAATCAATAATATCGAAGTAGAGCAGGCCATACAGGGTGTCTTTTCATGGGCCTGTTGGGTCTCCATAAGCACCACTGTCTGTTCGTAATCGGGCCGCCAAGCAGGCGCCTGAAGCAACCCCCACAGCGGCAGCTGCTCTCAGCAGCCATCTCTCGCCCCCCTTCGCCGCTCACCACCCACTCGGCGCATATGGCAGCCCACTTTTTGGCTCTGCTATTTTCGTCCTGGCGCTCATTCGTGTGCGGCAGCTTCGATTGGCTCGATGTGCTGCAGACCAGGCACGCGTCTCAAATTCAGAACAGAGCGGCACAGAACAGGACCCGCTTAACCAGACGAATTACATAAAGGACCAGAAACAGAGTCCTCAGCACTCGCAGTGGCTCTGCCATATTTCTAGACTTCTGTTCTGTTCTGTTCTATTCATTCTGCTGCGCATTAAGTGGCCCAGAAAAATTCGACAGTCGCAACGGCGAAAAAGTTGTCTGAGGTTAGTTTCTAGTGCTGTTGCATCGCCACAAGTGCAACCAACGTGTGGCAGTGAGTCATCGGTGTATTGATTTTATTTCCACCAGCTCGGCGCAACGCTTTTTCTACTGTGTGTGTGTTTTCTTTTTTCTTCGACACAATCTGAAAGTGTGAAGACATTTTTCGATAAAGTGGAATAAGCCTTTGTTAACTTATAGTTGTTTTATTAGAAGTGATTCAGAATTTCCATTCAATTTGTTTTGCTTTTCCAGTTTGCTTTTTAAAGCAAGTGGCAAACAACTCAGCATAGAGTTCATATTGCTTTTAATTGAAGTCATGGCCTGTTTAAATTCTCTGTCCGCTCTACCAGCAGCCTTGCTCGCATCAATCAGGACGAACTTACAAAACTAAAATGCGTATCTAAGGAAATTCAATGATAAGTGGTGTTGGCTCTGCAATATTTGTTTTACTAAAATCTGTTCCTCATTTCCAGTTTGCTTCACACACATACTTGTATAGAGAATAATTGATGTTTTATTGCATTAACCAGTCTATCTCCGTTATTAATTAACATTTGTATTGGTTCGCAGGAAATGCTGGCTTGAGAGCTCCTTTGTTGGTATTCGTCCGTTGGATTCACCGCAAACACCCGTGATCGAGAGCAGTCCGCAGTCGTTGTCGGAGCGTGTGGTGCCTTCGGTGGCGCATCAGAGCTACGCGGTCTACGTGGATGCCACCAACGCCACCACACAGCAGCCACCCTTACGCATGAACGGACTCAGCCGTATCGGCGGCGGTGGCGGTGAGTCGACGATCTACATCTAGAGCGTATTTAGATTCGTTTTGATTTTTGGTTTATCGAACCTTGAACGTTGTTACCTGCACACGAAAATGCAAGAAGCAGAAATGCAAAAGCAAAAGCAAACACACAATCAAAATCAAAAACAAAACAAGAATAATAATATTAAGGCCAAAACGTTTCACCTTTGGAATATAAAAGCAATTATTTTAGCATGTATTTAGTAGCCCTTGACGATTTTTTATTTCATTCTATAGTCACACACACATTCAAACAAACAAATACGCAACGCGCCACAACAACAACAACAACAACAAGAAAAACAACAACAAATGTCATGTAAAATACAATTTTCAACATTTGTTTTGTTTATAATTATTTTAAATGTATTATGTTTAACATTTTAGTGCAAATGCAACGCATTTTAATATCGATAGCGTACCTTTTTATACACAAAAACCGAAATGATTGACAATTTTTTTACTGAAGATGCTCAAACGTTTCACACACACACAAACACACACACACATGCATAAATATGTAATTTTATACATTAAATTTTAGTTGTAAACATTTATTTTTAAAGCTGTCCGCATTAATTTTTAATAAAACGCACAACAGCAGCATAATGGAATCATTTTATACCCATTATGTATATTTTTATTTCCACTTTATTGCACCCCCTTCTAAGTTTTGTTGTTGTACAAAAATTCATAGCATACTTATTTGCGCCAAACCCCTTTTCGACTAAAAATAAGCGAGAAGCGACGACGAAGTATTCGCTTGCGGCTTGCTTGGAATTTTCTATTTTAGGCCTTGTTTTTAAAACTAGACAAATTCGCGTATGCACACAACAGCAACAACAACAACAAAATTGCCAGGCTGCAATAAATTGAAATTGATGCTAGCGGTGTTATATCTGTATAATTAGAAGTGTTTTAATCTTACAAGTATTCATTCACCCATTGAAGAACAATAACAACGAACTATTTAATGCCTCCAAAAACTATCTACATTTAGTTTTGTATAAACTATTTTAGTTGTTTTTATTTTAACTTAGAACACAATACATACATACATACATACATATATTACGATAATGTGCTAATACTTATACACAAATTTACAAGCGTTGCCCACAAAGCGCAAGTCTTTGTGCAAGTAATAAATAATATATATTTTATTTAATCAAAACCATAGTTTTATTTTTGTTCTGTTATTGTTGACGTATTTTCAATACCTTCTTTGATTTCTATCGTACATCATTCATTTAGTTTCTGCCATAAATCATATGTATTTTATTTAATCTGCGGTATAATTTTTTGATTTAGTCGGCGGTTGAGTTATTTTTTGAAAAACTTTTGATTGGTATTGTATTAGAGTTATATTTCCATTCACCTTTTTACACACCACTATGTATGACACAGCGATCCCCTTTACTTTCCGCTCACAAAACTTTCTCAGTGTAATTTTAATAAGCTCTTCATACCTATTTAATACTTAAGCATAAAACTCAAATCAAAAGAAAAGCTGGAGAGAAGAATGCGAATGGAGAATGGAGAAAAATGAAAATGAATCGGAGCTACTTAAAAATAAAGCTATTTTCAATCGTTACTTAGTTTTAAGTGAAAGCAAGCATTAACTTAGAATTAGAAAAAGCCCAGCAATTCTTCCCTTCGGCTTTCCTTTTGCACCGAGGTCTATGCTGATATTGGAAATGTTTTAAAGAGTGGACAGCCCGTTATCTCTATGAAGAATTGGATTCAATATGTTTATCGAAGTCACTCTTTAGATCATTTCGAAATGATCTCTAATTATTTGCTCACTGTTAGTTGTAAGATCAATTAATGCGCTATTTATTTGATGCCTAACAAAAACGATATTGTTTTTATATTTTTATACTTTATTCCATTCTTTGAATATAAACGATTTTACGAAAAAAAAAACGCGACACAATATCATGACAAAATTGAAAACCGGCAATCAATCAAATCAATTAATTGCCAATTGTTCTCGGCCAAAAAAAAAAAAACAAAAAAAAAACCATGCACCAAAAATAAATATCGCTTAAAAATATAATATATAGCGCCCGAACGCTCGTTGAGCAACGCATCGTTAGAAGATGTCCTTGCATCACTATTAGGACTGCCAACTACCTCCTCCTCCACCAACAACAGCCAGAACAACAGCCAGAACAACAGCAACAACAACCAGACAAGCCACAGAACACAAGCGGCGGCCGTTGCAGGGCCGTCGACGACAGGTATGAACCTGTAAGTTTTTCTTCCAAATACTGATACCCAAATCAAAAACAAAAGATAACAACAAAAATAATGATGTTTGATGAGAGAGAATGCAATGAAATGAGAAAAAGCGATGTGAACTAAAGTGAAGAAATTATGGGTATAGGCGAAAAAAAACTAACCACATACTATGTACTACAATTGTTCTTGTTTGTTGTTCGCACACCTATAAAGCTACCTAAATACATACTACTTATATACTCGTATAATTACAATTACCTGCATATCAATTATCTCATATATACATGTAATATACTCGTACGTTATAGATATAGATATCTGTTCCTCGCTCCGGCTATATATTCAATATGTTTCCTGTGTCGTCTGCATAAAATCGCAAATGTTGGAAACTCTGTCATTTTTTATCCATCCCTTTTTCATTTGTTTGTTTGAGTAATAATAGAGTTGTCACGTTTTTCAAAAAAATATGAATTTTACCTTTTCTGTAGTTTGTTTACAACTTAATTATTCTTTCAACATACTAGTGCCTACATTCAAATGTATTTAACAACTCGTTTTTGCTCCTCTAAAAATTACACTGAGAAATACACAAAAAGAGAGACATGGCGCCATGTTCGTGACAATTACAGTTACACCTAAAAAAAAAAAAAAAAGAACATCCGTTAGTTCGTTCCTAGCATGTGCGCTCCTTATGGGTTCTACTAGCGACTAGAGATTGCCATCCAACATACATATATAAACCTACCCACATCAAATGAATGCTCATTGTTGTTGTTATTATTATAGCCATCTCTAGTGGCGGCAATTACGGAAGCTACTAGGCCTACAAACCAACTAACCAACGTGTCACCCCCTTGTTCGTTCTCTCTTTTCCAAAACATGCCCACCCCGTGCAGCAAATACAGCAGCTAGTCGTCAACAACTGGAGGTCCTGACAGCGGCCGAGCAGCAGCGTCTGCGTCGCCGTAGCGAAGGGGACGCCCCCGCCCAGAAGAAGCAGCAGCAGCAGCAACAACAACAACAGCAGCAAACAGCATCAGCAACAATTCAATCCGGAGAAGGAGAGGCCACAACCAGCGGTAGAGGAGTAGAGGGAGGAAATGGGGCCAACTGGGCACATCAACAGAAGCTGCAGTCCACTGCTGGCCACACGGCGGCCACGCGACGGGTTTCGCTCGGCGACTCCTCGGAGTCGCCCAACAACAACAAGACCAACTCCACCGAACTGCAGATCCGGTGCCGCAACACCAAATGCGACCAGAGCGCCACGCCTGCCGACGCAAAAAAGTTTTACAAGTCATGCCACAATTGTACCCATCTATATTGTTCACGTGAGTGTCGGCGCGCCCACTGGGAGAAGCATCGGAAGGCGTGTCTGCACTCGCGCGCCTCGAATCTGTGCCGACAGGTGCTAGCCACCTGCAAGGACGACGTCGACTCCCAGCGCCATCTGAGTCTGCTGGCCCGCAAGGGCAGCCTTTCGCAGGGACGCGGTGTCGTGCGTGTGCTCTTCCGGTCCGCCGAGGCGGCCGAGGGCTTCATCAAGCACGGCTTCCAGTGCATGGGCGAGGCCTCATATGTCCGCTGGCCCGATCTCATGCCGGCTGAAATGGGTCTGGAGCTGTACTCGGAGCTGCTGAAGCTGAGCACGGCCTACAAGCCCGAGTCCAAGATGCTCATCTATGTGGCCATTTGTGTGGTGTCGGAGGCACCAGGCATGGGCCAGGCACCGGTGCGCTGGGAGCGCCAACTGGTATCGCGTTGTGCCAAGCTCAAGCTCTGCAAGAGCATCCTTGCCGAGCTGGACCAGCAGCAGCAGGCGCTGCAGCAGCCTCTGTCAGTGGTCGCGGTGCCGGAGCGCACCGACATCCTGATACTCACCTTCAATCCCAGCCTGCGCAGCGTGCCCGGCAATCGGGAGCTCATACTGTCGAACATCTTGGATATTCTGTCGCGACGTGGTGTGCTGCTCCGCAAGCACTATCCGGAGATCTATCAGCGCTTGCAAAGCTACACGGAGGGACAGACGGACAAGTTCAACCCGGTGACGCTGCATCCACGCGACTCCCAGACCGGCCAGTCCTTCGTCTGCATAATTATGCCCGTGCACACGGACAGCGAGTTCGTCAAGCTGCCCTCGGCCGCAGATGGCGGCAATCGCGTGACCACCATCGATGTGGGTTCGCCCGCGGCCCTGGCTCAGCTGGACGACGACGAACTCTTGACCCGCACCACCCAGGAACAGAGTTGATTGAAGGCCGCCAGCAGAAAGAACAAGAGCAGCGCCAGCGACAGAAGCGGAGGCAGCAGCGGATCTGCCACGCCCCAGCCGCTGCTCTATGGCGATGCCCAGGGCTACGGCTTGGAGAGCACGCGCATGTGAAAGGCTCCTTTCTCGCTCTCTCCCTCTCTCTCTCTCTCTATATTTATCTTCCTATGAATCTTTATCCTGCATATACACGTACATACATACTCGTGCTCGTGTATCGGTACAGCTCTGTACTCTGTTCTGTTTCGTCTTAAGCGTGTAGTTAGTGGGCGTGTCAGCTTCTGGACACTCTAACTCCGTATATCAGTAGTGCCCTCCAGTAAAAATTCAAACCTAGGGTTGTTGGTACAACAATATCGACTTTAGAATATTATAGTCACGCCTGCGTTCCAAAAAAAAAAACACAATTTAAAAGGAATACGATGTGGGTATTCGTCCCAGTGGTTGATCGGTTAATTGATTAAAATATTAAAGATCAAAAAAATGGTTAATTATAGTGACTAGCTGGAACGCTTAAAAGATTTCATTTAACTTTTCAACAGCTAAGCAGTTTACTCACTGGCAGTGAATACCCTTTCCTGCTTCTCAACTAACGAGCGCCTTTATAACTGATATTAAAAGTTTACTATTATCGGAGTATTTCTATATAGTTCATATATATTGCTTATTTATTAGGATACGGATACAAAATTAATCAAAATGGTTTTCCAAATATCGCTATCAACAGCCCTAACACACACTTGTTGTCTGGTACACACATACGAGTACATATATCGTAAGAAATCCCAACTATATACACATACATATATACTATACATATGTCTGTATGATTTCTCCCAACCACTTATCATCATCACTTATTAACTCGTTCTAGCTAAATTAAAACAATTTACACTACTACTACTACTACTATGATACACAAGTCAAGCTTTATTATATACAGATAGATGTGTGTGTGTGTGAGTCTCTGAGCTTAAGAGCGACATTTCTCATCAGCCTAAACTACGATATATAGGATATATCCTGCAGCTTCCACAACTACGGCAACTAAGCGTAAAATACTACTACAAACAGACTTTATATAGGAACTCTGACCAGTCTGGCATGAGCATCTATAGCAACGCTAGCTGCTCCTGGCCTCTTTGCTTAGATTGTAAGGATCTTGGTACACCCACTCGCTTAGACATTCGCCACAACTACTATACTATAGTGTACTATACTTGTATGTGTTTGTAGGCTGCTGCGCTTTTGGACGGCGCAATACTTAACATCTATTTTGATAAAGACAAACGACAGTCAAACACTCACTCATTAGCTCGTTCTTATATCTCCTTTGACATATACAAGTATCTATGTATATACGAGTAATACATACATACATACATACATATATAATGTAACAAGTGCAAATAATTTGCCCATGGCCTTATTTTAAATGAACTCGTTCTACCTACTATGTTTGTTGAATTTGTTTGGCCCTAATGTGTTAACGCTTCCCAATTAGGTTCTTAGCATACTAATAAGTGAAGGCGTACTACGTATATACAAGTAGATCAAGTCTAGGCTAGTCAAAATACTATGTGTATGTACTATATATTAGTTCAATTTGTGTACTAAACCAATGAAATCAAAGAAACGCTAACTCAACTTATTCTCCTTTTCCATTGCTAGACAAATTCGCTTTTCTCTTGCTAGATAATTATACATTAATATTTTCCCCAACATTTTGTGTAAATAAATAAAAGTCAACTGCATTTTCATGTGTATGTCTTTTCGCCTAGTCGTAAGCAATTTATAACAAACAAAAAAATAAAAACAACAACTACAGATTCGTTAACAATTTACATTTCGAACTAATCACAGTTCGACCCGCACTAGTTTTAAAAACCAAAATCGTTTAGCGCGTATCAAAAAAGGACTTGAAAAACAATAAATACAAATTATTTCAAACAATACTACAATCTGTCGTTTTTATCTTCGAAAAGATAAGGATATCTGCAGCATGATTCTCGGTTAATTAAACTAACCAGGCTAAGCATAAATGAGTAGCAATTTTGATAAAAATGTATTATTAATATGTACTGCTCTTTCAGTTAAATAATGCTCCTCCTTGTTTTCAAAATTCTAATTAAAAATTGTATTTATAAGAAGTCAGGAGGAATGTTTTTAAGGTGTGGAAAATAATATCCTTTTTAGGTAAGCTAGTCAGCAAGACCCGCGGCAGTCTACAGACACCGTGATGTCCCTTCCCGAGGGAGGCAACAAATGAAGCTCCTGGCATAGACAGGATTTGTCATGCCACACCAAAGGCACAGCCTTCCCAGAATATTGGAAGATGGCAGCAATCCTCATAATCCATATACAAGACAACCTAGAAGTTCATCCGGAGTCTTATTGCCCAATAAATCTCCTGGTGGCAGAGTCTTGTGACCAACCGCATTGGCGAAATCCTATGTAAATGCAATTTCTTTGCGGATCATCAGTTCAGCTTTCGAAAGGGACACGGAACCGGAGAACATTCACATGGCGTAGCGCATCCTGCATCCTGCCTTTAATGACACGACCGACTTTTGCTTACCACCACAATGATGTCCTAAGATCATATCTAAAAGGACATCAGTTCGCAGTTTGCACTGTCAAAAAAGAGCCGTGAGTTCCTCAAGGGAGTGTGATATTGCCAAAAACGTATGTTTCTATTTGTTAATAATTATATATTTTATTTAATTAATTTAATTTTAAGAAAATTGATTTTAAATATATCAAACGCATGTCTATAAATTACATCAATAGTTTTAAATTTATTAAATCTGTAAATAAAATGCTTTAAAATAAATTTTTGAATTAATTATTATGATTGTGTTGGGTGGATGGTGAAGGGAGGGGTGTGGTGAGGTTGGTTATAAGGTGCTAATAAATAAATAAAAATTCAGTTTGACCGATGGCCAAAGCGGCTGCGTTTGCTAAAATCCAAAATTTGAAGTACCAGGCGAACAGAACTCAGCAGCAAGATGATTCAAAAACGAAAAAATAAATTCTGCCCCTGTATGGTATGCTACACTTTTTAGATGTAAGCCGGGTTTCAAACCATTTGGAAGCACGGTTTCAAGCCAATGTGCCAAACTGGTTTGAATCCCAGCTGCAAAATGGTTTGAAACTTGGATTACATTTCTTTTAAATTTTTTTTTTAAATCATCTTTCTGCTGAATTATGTTCGCCTAGTACTTAGCAAAGGTGCCAGCTTGCAAACTAAATGCAAGGCAGCTGCGGCTTTCAAAAAATAACTAAAGCGCCTGCATTTCCTAAAATCCAAAATCAGAAGTACCAGGCGAACAGAAATCAGTAGCAAGATGATTCAAAAAAGAAAAAATAAATTCTGCCCCTGTATGGTATGCTACACTTTTTAAAAGTAAGCCGGGTTTCAAACCATTTGGAAGCACGGTTTCGAACCAATGTGCCAAAATGGTTTGAATCCCAGCTGCAAAATGGTTTGAAACTTGGGTTACATTTATTATTAATTTTTTTAAAAATCATCTTTCTGCTGAATTATGTTCGCCTAGTACTTAGCAAAACTGCCAGTTTTGCAAACTAAAACCAAAGGCAGCTGCGGCTTTCAAAAAATAACTAAAGCGCCTGCATTTCCTAAAATCCAAAATCTGAATTACCAGGCGAACAGAAATCAGCAGCACGATGATTTTTTTTTTTAATTTAAAAATTTGAGTTAGCCGGGCTTTGAACCATTTGACAGCCAATCTTCAAACCAATTTGGCTGCCGGTTTTCAAACTATTTTGGCAGCTAGGTTTTAAACCATTTGGCAGCACAGTTTTAAAACAATTTGCTAAACTGGTTTGAGTCCCGGCTGCAAAATGGTTTGAAACTTGAGTTACATTTATTTTTAATTTTTTTTAGAATCATCTTTCTGCTGAATTATGTTCGCCTAATACTTAGCAAAGGTGCCAGCTTGCTAACTAAAACCAAAGGCAGCTGCGGATACTTTTTAGATCCTGCTGATATTTATGTTTGCCTGTGATTAATTAAAATCCTTCATACTGTAGCAAATAAATAAAAACTGTTGTATTCTAAAAGTTGTTGCTTTATTTAAAATAAATCTGTATAAAAGTTAGCCTTAGAGTAAGTGACAATTTTAAGGATAAAGTTAAAGCTTAAATATCGGTTACTATAATTCAGCAAGCCCGTTCCTCTTAAAAGAAGAAGAAGAACAGGTGGCCCAGACGGTTCCTTGGAACAGCACGGTAGATGCAAAGGAGTTGGTGATCATCAGACTTTAGGATTAATCGCCTTTTCATAAAATTCAAATCAATAATTAGCAAACATACACAGCAATAAAACAGGGTTCATATTCTAAGGAAATGCTCAGAATTTCAAAGATTACATATACATATCTTAGATTGATTCTTCCTAACAAATAATATCTTTAGTCTTAAACTAATTTTTTCGGTTGTAAATATTGAGATCCTTAGATCGAAGCCGTTGTCGTTGTAAAACTAGTCCCGAATTTTCCCAAAAACTTTAAAGACCTTAAGTTGTATTTACAAAGGATCCGTATTATCGCTGTGTTTTGCACACGCAATGAGGACACAGTATGATTAGACATCGGTTTAAATCGGCTTCTGTGACAGATAAACAAAGATAAAAACAGTATATAGTGGTTGTGCAGAGATTGTTATTGTCCACTGGTCAACACTTACCTCTTTCCCTTTTGATTTGGAGCCCACTCTCCTATGCCCACAGGCTTCCATTCGATTCCCATTGAAGATACAAAGGACCTGCTCATCGCCACATACGCAGATAACCCGGCCGTCCTGGCCAGAAACAAACGCCTTTAAGCAGGTGTACCAGCAAACTACGGGTATGACCTGTTGCAGAAACAGCTCCTCTTCTATAGTCAAAACTGTTTTGGCAATCAGACTGAAAAAAACCCGTCGTAGGGTGTTTATCCTTTTCACCCCACTCCCTTACCATGACACTAACCATTAAAGCTTTATGTATTTTTGGAACATTTTTATCTCCAGATTAAATAAATAAATATTTATGATTAAATTACATGTAAATATAGTACACGAAAAGGGAAAGTTGGGGCGAACTGTCAGACTTTTCAGGATTGGTTTATGTCAGTTGCTTATACCCTTCAAAATGGCATTCCTGTTATCTTAATTGGTCATAATGGCGAGACAAATTGTCTTAAAATCTAAAGGTAAACATTGCATTCTCATGTTGACTTAAAATTATAGTCGGACCACAATTTCAGAAATATATACGGATCCATAATAAAATATTGACTACAGTAAAAAGTTAAGGATCTACGCCAAGAAATTTAGTATGACAGTGCCAATAAATAAGTAATATTATACATACGATATTACGTTGTGAAGGGTATTATAGCTCCGTCAAGGCCGAAGCTAACCAACATTCAAAATATATTCCTATCTACGTGCCACTGACAGAGACTGAGTCCTCTTGGTCATCCTGAAGTGAGTGGCACTGATTGCAGTGCTCATTGCCATAAAGATTAGGCACGCAAGGCTCATGAAAGATATGGCCACAATTGAATTCCACAAGACTGCTTGAAACCGCAACGTCTTTCTTGAGAACAACCCGATTACATTTCGCACAGCACTGTTCGTAGGGCACAAAACGACCACGCCTCTGTGCGGCTACCAGTTCGGAGTGTTCGGCGAAATAGTCCGCCTGCTGAATTTGATGTGCAATGTCCAGCTTTTCCTCCTGAAGGTTAAAATGCCACAACATCTTCAACACTGATTCACGCAGGTGCGGTATTTTCTGGCCCAGCTTGATCTTGTTTACTATCAATTCCGGATTGACATAATCTACAAAGATGCGATTAGGAATACGATTTTATGTGATTACCGGATTTAATTGCTTTGCATACCGATAATGCCATCCAGTACTTTGGTTACTATATCTGGTTTCTCAGCGGACTCATCTATTAATACATTCCACAAGTCTTCGTCGTCATGCTCCTTGCAGAACTCAATGGCCATTTCGATGTCTTTTATCTAAATTTAAACTAATATATTAGACATTAAGCTCCGTCAGGAATACATACCTTATATATAATAATATTGAGCGCCTCCACGGCCTCCACTCCGCCCATGCAACCCAATAGATAAACCATTTCCGGATACAGGTTTTCGCTCTTACAAATTGCCAAGGCATCCTGTATGGCATAATGTTTCGAACGGCGCAGAAAGGGTAGCAATTTCGAGCGATCAAATTTAACGTATAACTCAACCAGCTTGGAGTGAAAGGTTCCCCGCTTATCTACTTTATCCAGCGCATCCAAATACTACAAGGAATTTAAATTTTAACAGGCCTGCAAGAATCTCCAGTATTACTGGTAGACATACCCAATACAGGTACTCCTGATTTGGCTCTAATTGGTGCACTACAACCTCTGGATTTATTTTTTTTCTATCGAGCAATATTTCGAAAGCACATTTTCGGTCCAGCTGTATGAGCGGAATTATCATTTTTGAAATGTTTTCATATAGATTGTAGCGATGTATTAGCTTAAACACGTCCTTGTTCTGTAATCTGGGAGAAGAGATAATTGAATAAAATATGAATAGTATATTTATAAATAAATATGCATATTTAAATTGTCGCACTCACTTTAAATACATGCGCAGGGCGCTCTCGAAATCACCTTGATAGGAATACAACAACGCCAAGGCTTCGAGTAACTCATTGGCATTTTGCTTACGAAATCTATCGCCAATCGTGTTGATCACATAACGACCATTATACAGAGTGGGCGGCCACTCTTTTAGCAAATTGAGAAAGCCGGAAACATCATGCTCCAAAAACTCGTATAGCACCAATTCGTAATAGTGGGGATCCAGCTTACAATCCTCCGATGTAGGCAAATAGGGGCTAACTGATCGCAGTTGCTTGTACTCGAAAAACTTTAGAACTTCCTCCTGCCACAGTGCTTTGTTGTTTCCAAAAACCTGCAGACATAATTTCGCTGCTCTGTCAAACAGTTCATTTTTAAGCAAATGGTTAATGTATAGCCTGCAAAATAAATACATAAAAGGAAGTAATGGGCATTGAAACTGACAACCTGCATAGACATTACCTGGCGACTGTAAGCAGATCTATGCTGCCGCCATGAGTTGATATCACAGCCATGGCTTCTTCGTACTTGCTGTAAAAATCACAAATTTGTATCACAATAAAAACAATCTAAAAATGAAGAAAGTAATAAAAAATATACATAGATATACTAGCAGGTTATATACAATTGTTTGATATTTGTTTATGTATCCCAAATTTTTAATCAATAGGAGTTTGGAGCTCGAGTTTTAAAAAATGCAGATGTTTCATACAAAGTTTGAAGCCCCTTTTCCTCCTTTTGTAGTGTAAATATTTCAAAACCGCTTGTTATCGCTCGTCGCCAACACTGTGGAAGGATACTTGTGTTTTGTTAGCTCTTACCGTTCGAGCGGTTCGTTGACCACCAATCGATCAGTCAGTCAGTCAAACTGTTTTATATATGTACATATGTATATGGATTCACATTACAAAATAATGATTATTTTGCAATTTTATTTGTTCGCTCACAATATTAATTTAATGATTAATTTTGAGTTTTTCTTTACAACTTAACAAATCATTTTTGAACAAAAAACTAAAACTCAAAAAATAATTAATGTTTGTTTTATTTTTTTTGAACAATCATCAGTCTAAAATAAATGATATTGGGAAATACCTCGCTTTCCTAAAGTTACGATAAGTGAATGATTTTTTCGTTAAAAAAAAAACAAACAAACAAACGATTATTTGCAGTCCGTGATTTTAACAGCTAGGATATAGGGTGTTTTAGCGTTCCTCATGTTTCGACCACATTGCGCCCACGACAAGTTGGCAGCATTGCAACTTTTCACATGAAATCGATATATTACATATCGATAGACGCCTCCACATTTTCGGCTTGTTTACCATACGGTTGGTAACTTAAACCCATAGAAAAGTAAAACACTGTAATTGTTAATATTATCAAGTAGTTTCAAAGCCGGAGGGCTGCAACATGCGTCGTATGAGCAACTTGATAACGCTCTTTACAGCAATAACGGCATTCTTTTTTGGCTGTTTCATCACAAAGATTTTAACAATAGTTGACAAATGTCCAGCACATAAAAGCGGTGTTGCGAAGTTAGAGCCGCACCCGAATTTATTTCTCATGGTTTTAATAATGAGTGCGCCGCGCAATGTGGAGCAACGGAACGCAATGCGTGAAACTTGGCTAAAACTGGGGCAGCCGCTGCAGCAACCATACTTCCCCGAGGAGAACATTTATCTGCCGGCATATGGAGCAAGGGGACACTTACAAATGGAAACTGTGACTTCACAGGCGAACAGACTACGCCTTTACATGGACTGGGCGGCAAAGCTTCCGTACATGGATGCGCCCAAGACTAAAAGAACCATCCAAGTGAAGCATTTCTTTGCCATCGGCATGCAACACATTAGTTCCGTAGTGCGAGCAGAGTTGGCACGGGAACAGAGCCAGCATAATGACTTGCTTCTGCTACCCCGCCTACACGATGCCTACACGAATCTAACCGAGAAGCTGCTACAATCAATAGACGCATTAACTCACCATTATGAGTTCTCATATCTGATAAAGGTCGATGACGATAGTTATGTTAAGTTAGATAACTTGCTCAACGTACTCATCTCCTACGATCGCAAACTACTGCGAAAATCGAGCGAGTACCGACACGAGCAGCTGCCACAGCTTTACTGGGGCTACTTTAATGGCCGCGCCACAATAAAAAGCAAGGGTCAATGGAGTGAGCCCAATTATTACTTGAGCAAACACTTTATAACCTATGCCTTAGGTGGGGGATACGTCATATCGCGCAAGCTGTGCGAGTTCGTAGCCAATAACTCCCAACACTTGTCCACCTACGTCTCCGAGGATGTATCAATGGGCACCTGGTTGGCCCCACTGCGACATGTCTATAGATGGCACGACCCTAGATTCGATACAACATACGTGCCGCGCGCGTGCCGTTCGCATCATTTGGTACTGCATAAGCGCAACGAGGTGCGTATGCGTGACCTCTACATGGGTAAGTTATGCAGCCCGGAGCAGTCGAGCGCGAGATCATTACCCGCCGAATACTATTACGATTGGTCGAAGCCGGTGGACAAGTGCTGCGATAGTTTAGTGGTGTAGAATATTTGATAAAAAGCCAAAGTGCATCTAAGCCAAAGTAACGTAGTTTTAGGGTTTTCAAGACACTTACCAGTGTGCAATTAACCATTGCACGCGCTCATCGGTGCCTATGAGGCTTGCAACAACAAAATCATTTGGCGCCACAATAAAATAGCGACTCTCCTCAACTATACAATTCAGACTGTAATCGTTGACGGTGTACTTCTCAAAGTCGCGTATCGATAAGCTGTCGGTGAGTATTTCCTCGCTGCTGTGCATCTTGTACTCCATCACGCTTATCACGGGTCGCAACGCTTTGTTGTCGGCACTGCGCTGTTTGCGATATCCCAACACAACCAACTGTGTGCGAGTGAACGGAGCCAAGCCAGAAATGTAGAATGTAGTTTGAAAAGTTGAGACTGTAAATAATGTTGATAATAAAGTTAGTTGTACATTATCGCATCACTGCAGAATATTCTTACTTGGGTCGACAATGTAATCGGGCAAATTTCCAGATGCTGCCTCTATGCTATTACGTTTCCGTATTACACAAATACGTATGGTGTCCACCCAGCCGACAAGCAGCGTCGTGTCATTGGACCAACGAAAGTTGCACCGGAAGTTTTCCAGTCGCTCCTGTGGGGGTACCTCCCATTTCATCAGCCCTAGTGAGCACCTTTCATTCAGATCGTACACACGCACACCCAGATAACTGGCCCAAGCCACAAAATTTCCATTCCAGCAAACGGACAGCACATTCCCTTCTGCGGTGCACAATTCAGTTGACTTTAGTTTTTTTAGAAATTTGCGCTCGTATATAGTCAGCCTATCATCACCTGAGGGAAAAATAAATACATGTATTATTTAATAAAATGCCGGCAAATAATGCATGGAGTTGCTTACCAACTATGAAACGTCGCACACCACTTGATTTTGTATCAGGGTCCAAGGCGACAGCTTTGATCAGCTTGGAGAAGCACAAATTTTGATTATTTTCCGAGCTGAATAGCCCTGTAATGTTAACCTGAAATACAATAATATTTCAATACCTTTATGAATTGTATAAAAATGCCCGCCCATATGACTCACCTTGCCATCATCCGAGCATGTAGCGACATATTCGCCTTTCGAATCAACATCTATATGATTAACGGCCACTGTGTGCACATGTCGGTCGTCATTGCTCAAATTCGTTTCGACGCAGTTTCCCTGATGATCCAAAAGGTGCACTCGCCCTCGTTTTGTTCCAAAGATAAGAAACTGGAAGCAGCCATTTCAGCAAAGGTATTTCCAACGGGATCAAGTGGCACCTACCTTTGGGTGTACGGAACTGCAGGTGATCAAATCTGTGTTAAGTATTTTCTTAAGATCGTTTCCCATGCGCGTGTACTTGAATTTGGGCTCCACATCTTCCTCCTCTTCAGTGCTCGTACTCCCTGTACCCGCATCCTAACCAATAATGATTATTATACATTGTAAGCCGTGTTATATATAATATTCAGATTAAATTATAAACTTACACCATTAGTATCTGCGGTTTCTGCCATCCTAAATTCCAATATTGTAAAAAATATAACTACTTTTAACAGTGAAGCTAAATATTTGTTATTATCAGCTGTGCTGAGAGTCCATTGCCATTCACAGTAAAGTCACAATATTATGCCGTTCACAAAAATGCCGAAATAATTTATGTGCCTTTGACACCCTGTTGAAATGTTTAAATCATTCGATATGCTCAGTGAACCGTTTTTTTTCTACAGGCATATAACTACTACATGCCTATAAATTATTTTACAGTCTGAATTAATTTAAATATAAAGCGCACTCTAACCGCTAAGGCAGATCCGAACGCAGAGCAAATAAAAACTGGAGCAAACAATCCTGAATTATATAGACCCTCCAAATAATGATACAATATGATTCATATAAAAAACGTAAAAGCAAAGACACAAGTAATCCCTAGATTATTAAGTGGTAGCATATTGTGTTGCTTCTTCCCTTCATGATCAATGATTGAAGGCCACATCCCATACTACGGCACGGTTAGCTTGGATAACGAAACTGGAATTACAGCGAACCCTTCTATTTATTATGACCATTCCTTCCATAGTGTGCCTTCATTTAATCTGAAACTATTACAATGGGGAATCTTTTTTACCCTCAACACAAAATACAATATATATTTTCAGTATATATTTCTAAATTTTTATATTGGTTTTCCATATAAATGCGCTTAATTATTGTTGTTTTTCTTCTTGTTGGTATTAGATCTTCATTACAAGTGTATGCAAACATATAAAAATAAAATATAATAGCAGTACAAATAGCTCGAATGTTTAGGTAACAACACAAGAAAATATACACAACATATTTTTATTCCGTAATTTAACTTAAAATACTAATTAAAAACGCTCTAAAAATACCAATATAATATACGTCTAAAAATATACGCGTTAAATTAATACATCGTGTAGCGAACCGTAAACGGTTTGGAAATTGGAATTTATATTAACTGTAGCAAGTTATTTTTGCGTGCGCTTTGTTGGTTTTGTTATATAATGCGCCAGTACGTACATATGCATTTGGTATATAAATAAATTAAGTCCTATATTAATAGCGCTAATTACATAATAAAAAACATACTAGACGACGGCGTTGTACTTTAAACGCCCCAAACAGCAACGATTATTCATCTGCTGAAGTCGCCACAGCACCCATTGTCATCGTTACCCATGGTCCAATAATGGTCCAGTATGTCCTCGCTGGTAAAGCGCACGTCTGGATCCGATTGCAGCATGTTAGCGATTAGATCGCGCACACCCTCTCCAATATCAGACCAGTATGGATCTGGAAACTCGTAAACGCCTGATATAATAGCATCAAACAGTGGTTCCTGCTGATTGTTTTGAGACACAAATGGCGGAAAACCACAGAGCAGTATGTACAATATAATGCCAGCTGCCCAGACATCGATCTGGACGGATTAAATCATTTAAATATCAATTTATACGAACTATATTTTGAAAAGTTACCTTTAACCCATAGCCGACATCTAGTAGTATTTCGGGCGCCACATAGGTAGGTGTACCACACACGGCTAGCAGCGGTTCGGTGACTTCACAAGCCAGCCCGAAATCAGCCAGCTTGAGTTCAATGACATTTCCAAACTCATCTAGTTCGACCTGCAAGAGAACGCGAGAAATTAATAATTACACAGATGAAAAAAATTTATTGGAATGTATTAATAGTAAATGTACTTATCACAAATATTATATTTCTGGCTTAAAAAATAGCTTCAGGCAGGGTATATTAGCTTGCTTACCAAAAGATTTTCGGGTTTGATGTCCCTATGAACAATGCCCATGGAATGTAGATAAGACATCGCCGAGCCCAGGTGTCGCATCATAATGCGCGACTGGCTCTCCGAGAAGCGTGTGACCTGAGTAATAGCATCGAACAGATCACCACCTGTAGGAATATTATAGATTAGGCATTGGTTTCATATTTTGAAGGTCGACTTCTTCATCGTGCTACTCACCACTCACATACTCGAGCACCAGGTACATATTCTCCTGCTGATCGACGTCCATGATGAGTGATATGATATGGGGATGCTGAAGTTTCTTCATCACACGCACCTCGGCATCTATATAGTGCTCCTTGCCCTTGCACTTGCTCTTATCAATAATCTTGAGCGCGTACGGCACGCCCGTCTGCCTCTCTTTAATCTTCAGCACAATAGCAAAGTTGCCATCCCCAATGATCGGCCCTAACAAGTAGTTGTCGCGTATGGCCACTGGAAGCTGCCAGGGTTCGACACCAGTGCTGTTAAGTAGAGCCGCTTCTTCGTCGTTGATCGCTGGCGGATTGTCAGTTGGCTGCCCAGGGTCTGGGGCATTTGGCGCTGACGGATAAACCTTTTTGCTTTTCACCGGCATCTTTGGCTTGGGGCCTTTGCAGGTGGTGCCAGCTGTACGCAGTGTCTTTCGTATCGCATTGATGGCGCGTTGCTCGTCTGGCTCTAGCTTGAAGTCCTCGATGTTGTTAACTCTTTCGGTTCCATAGGCAAAAAACACATCTTCCGGTCCAAAAAAGTCGGCCAATTGCGCCACAGTGGCACCCGACAGAGTAAACACCTTTCGTACATAGCCAGTGTCCAGTTTCACCACCTGAGTAATGGCGGTTAATACATGCTCGAAGCTGGGACTGTTCCGTTTATTTAGGAGCAAGCGCATAATGCGACGTGGTTTGGTGCCGTTCCGGATGAGTGTGACAATGCGGGGATGAACGACGCTGTCACGTGAACTGAAGCGCGAGCTGTTCAAAGGGCTGCTGTTTGTTCCGGCTGCTGGTGCCGGTGCACTGCTGGCCATGGCTCCGTTCTTGAGGGGCGATGCTGGACGCTGCATTTTCGAAATGCGCTGGTTGGCGCGATTATTAGCCAAAGTCAGGTTTGCCAATGGCTGTGAAGTGGTGTTGTATTCGACCTTTTTGAAATTCTCGTTATTGCAGGAACATACGTAGCTTTGGCCATCTTCTAGCTCGTCCAAAGCGGCAATCTGAGGCAAATAAAAACATCGGTTAGTTGCTGGTTTCAAAAGGGTGGATAATAATTATGTTTAATAAATTTTGCTACGAAATAATATGCTACACTCGCAAGAAAACCACCAAAAAGTATCTGATCCGAATTTTCTTGGGAGATTACTAATTAACAAAGATTATTTGATCTTTTACGAATTTGAATACAACAAACAATTAACAATAAACTCTCAATAATTTATATAAACTATTATATATATTTCAATTGATAAATTCGAAGGACACTCACCCTTTTGCCACACATATTGTATATGGTACGAACGGCGCCTGGTATTTTAACATTCTCCTCCAACATTTTCGTCAAATGCTCGTAGAGACTTTCGAAGGAGCGATATCTTTCGTTGGAAACAGGAATGGTAATGCCTGGATAGAAACGATCACCGTTACGATAAAATTTGATGCGGTGTGCCTTTCGCGTCGGTGTACGACTGCTAGAGATGCGCTTCTTAACATTCGGCAACCCGGTCACAAGTACCGTCGTCGATACACCATGGCCACCACCATTTGTCGTTGTCGCCGATGTGCTTACTGTATTGGTGCTTGTCGTAGGCGGCGCTGATGTGGTCGAGGAAGCGCCGCTGAGCGATCCATTCGATTTTCCAACGCTGCCGCTGGTGTGAGAGCCATTTAGATCGAGCAACTCGTGGAAATCCTTCTCCAGTTCTGAGTTGGAGCTTGCTGGACTTGCGCAGGGACTGTGATTGCTTTTCGTGGTCGCCGTCTCAGCTTCCGTCGCCTCCAACGTATTGTTGGTTAACTGTTGCTTGTTCAGAGTTTCGATAAGCGCTGCCTCCACGGATGCAGTCGGGGACGGGGAATGAGACTGATCCTTCTTCTTTTTGGGTGTGGATGAGCTGGCGTTCGTTGAGTTTGCTGCCTGAAGTGCAGAAATCAATGAGGAGTTGCTGTGCAGACTGTTAACTGTATGAACTTCCATGCTGCGAAGTATAGGGAGTGTAGGATCACCAATTAGTAAAATTCCGTTTGCCATTTGGGTGGAGACCATTTTTAGTTTTAACTGCAGCGACTTGCAGCTTTGCTTTTGCCTGTCGCCTTTTTCTTAGTATCGCAATTTCTGCTCTGTTTCTATAATTGCCTATATTGGCTGTGAATCAAGTTTTTTCTTTTTTTAAAACGTTTTTCTTTGTGTTTATAAAAATATATATATTTTTTTCTCGACTAACTGATTTGCTCAGCCGACGTTTCACTCTCAACTCAACTTTCAAAACCAGTTTTTCAGCACGCCTAGATGCTCACGCTCAGTCTTTCTGTGACTCGCTTGCTACTATGGCTAGAAAGCATCTCTCAGATACGGCCACAAATGCCAGCTATAATTGAGCTAATTTACGTAAATTATTTACTGCAAATATTTCTTTTTTTGCAACAGCGGCCATAGCTCCGCTCAGTGCGCTAGATTCCCATGTTGACCCAACTGAATTACCGTTTTTTACCGTAAGCTCGCACTGACGCAGGCAGCGCCATGCTGATGACGCCATTCTGTCGCTCGTTAAGCGGCACACCCGTGTGACGGCGTGTCCTATTTTAGCACAGGAGCACCCGGCCTTACCTCCTTACGACTTCAACGGGCAGACGGACAGACAGACAGTCAGAAATACCAAAAGAAAAACAAACAATTTGCCTAGTTTCCCAGGCCTAAGAGCGATCAATAAAGCGCGCTTTATTGAGGGCAAGGGTTTTATGAATTTGTCATGAGATGTGCCAAACACAACTAAGTAACTCTCTAAGGTCATATATTGTCATAGCAGTCTACGCTAATTCCGACCTATTTACATACATATATGAATATATTGACAGATTTTTTGTCCCCTGAACCCGAATGAAAAGGGGCGTACTAGAAAATCTTAGGCATAAGGAGTATAGTAATTAGTATGTTTGAACCATAGGTGGAGTCGAATGTATGTAACACACAAAAGAAGGCGTGGCAAACCCCCAAAGTATATAAATTCTTGATCAGTATGACAAGACGCGCCGATAAAACGATGTCCGTATGTTCATCTGTATGAACTCAAGGATTTCAGAAAGCATAAGAGCTAGAAAATCTAAACTTGGTATCCAGATTCCCCTAAATCTTAGACAATTCAAGTTTGTTGTTTTTTTTTTCAGATTCACCCCGCACGCCCTCTATTGGTGATTTTTCAATAATAAAGAAATAAAAATGTATGAACCTGCATATGAGCATATGATCATTTATAGATACATATGTACATATATATACATACATATATACTTGTTTAATAAATATATATATATAATTGTAAAGACGGGCAAGATCTGCTAGTCGTGCAAAACAATGAAATTCAATTTATTGGCCTACAATTCCGCACATTACTGAAATTCGTGAAGCACTTTGAATAAAATTCCAAATCGTAAGTATGTATGCAAATGTATATAACTATGGCCAGCATAACGACATCGACGCAGCCCGTCTGCAGTACATAACAGACAGTTCAATGAGTCAGCCGGTTCAGTGTCCCCCGCACCTCTGCCCAACCAATCCCATCATCGGCAGTCGGCCGCACGTTATGTCAGCTTGAGTCTCAGCCTGCTTGTTATTTTTATTTTTGATGAAGCATTCGCTTACGATTTTATTTTTCATCATTTTATTTCTACAGGCACGTTTCAGTTAGCCATTGTCAGTGTGTGTATGCCTGTTTTTACTTTTTATAGTGCCTTTTGTTTTATAAGACGCTTGTCTTCGTCTGTCTATTCATCTGTTTGCCAGGCCCCAGCCATGCCCCTATGCCAGCCCCTGGTACTTTCCCACTGTCGCTGCCATGCAACCATCTATCTAGGCATAAGCTTGATCGACACTCTGTCTGTTCGCGTGCTAGCCTATAAATTGTTATTAAAGATGACTGTTTGTGTGTGTTGCTGAGGCATGTTGCCGCAACAAACGTACATAGGTGTGCGTGTGCATGTGTGAGTGAATGTGGGGAACACTGTAAAGTCCACTGCCTTTCGCTTTAATTGAAATTTATGTCTTAAGTTATGACTCCATTACCTTATTACGGCAGCTTTGAGCACGTTATAAAGCACAAAGCAATGCTGGTTATAGCCACGTTAGCAACACGTTTGAGTCATGCTTATGACAGCGGCACACACACACACCTATCACCCCAGTGTCTGATAGTCTGTAGCGCCACCTACATCAACACTAGCTTCCAATTTTCCTCCCCTTGCCCCTTTACCCAGCCCTGAGTAGAAAAAGTAATTAACTTAATTACTGCAGCGGCACCGCCTTAAACTATTCTGTTTTTATATTTCTTTTTTCACATTTTATTGCTGCTTCTGCCAAGCCCAAAGACGTCGAAGAAGTCAAGAGCGCGTGCCGCGAAGAAAAATGTTGCCCGGCACTTGAAATCTGCAACCGCCTAGCCTAATTACCATTTAAAGTTTGCTGCCAAGTGGGTCAAAGTTTTAGTTGCAGAGTGGTTGCTAGCGAGTGCATTAGCGATGCATGTTGCAGCCACATTTGCCGTTAGCACTGTCTGCCAACTGTTTCTGTCGAGCATGACATTTGGCATTTTGTTTGCCTCCTCCTCGCAACATGTGCCTTCGCGTTGCGTGGCGGCTTCGTTGCTCACAGCGATGACATCAAAAATCCATTTGACCTTTTTTCTGTGCTCTTTTGGGTAAAAAATCGAAAAGTAGGCCCAAATCGAAGCTACATGCCCTTTTAAATATATCTTTCTCTTATCGTATCCTTCACGGAAGTTAAAGGGTTTATTATTTTGATTTATTCCAGCTTATTAATATATGTATGTAGTAATTAAAATTAAGTTTCCAAAAATTAAATTGTGGTAATACAAGATCGAAAGGTTCTAGCCGCATCCGATAATTATTCATAACAAACACTTTCAAATAATGTGAGCAAAAACAAATTAAATTGGATTGGAAATACGTATATATTTACGTCAAACTAAAAATCAATAGGCGATAGCTCATGTGCCGGCACAGGAAGGAAACGTGCGTTGGCGTGGTGCCGTTGTTGGTATTATCTCTCTCTCTCTCTCTCTCTCTCTCTTTCGTTAATGGGTTGTTAGCCGGTTAGCTACGCACACAGACGTTAACAACGCAAACAACAACACGACATCAACGTACATAAATGGAAATTGCATTCACAATTGAATTTCGCTTGCGAAAAAAAGCAAATACAAACATAGGTTTGTGCGCCTTACTTGTATATTCACCTTTACTGCGAGCTGTTATGAGCACATGCTCCAAAAACGGTATTCTTCGCTGGCAAATAGTAGGAGTGGGTGAAGAGGGAGAGGTGTGGTGTGGTGTGGTGTCTGGCTATTGAACAGGTGCGCCCGGTGCGTCGTCGGCTATTGCTCCCAAAAAGACACAGCTAAACATAAAATTGATGGCATATCTTGCGATCATAAAAGTTGTTTATTAAGATTTGCACGCACTCAAGCGTCAAATTAATGGGTATATGGTGGAGGTGCCAGTAGAGATAGTTTGAAAATGAAAACATCACGAATTAATGCACGCGCTTTTCTTCAACGACATATTAATCAATATGGGGTGCCTGTCTTAAAAGTAAAACCAACGAAAAGACACAAAATCACAAAAAGAAAAAACAGAAACCGGTAAAATAGACAGAGCGCTGTTCCATTGAAAGCACAAGCTGAGGTGGACTGGGGATTGGGCAATACTCTGGTAGTGGTGGTCAGGTAATTTTAATGAAAATTGCAAAAGTCATAAAAATATAAGAAAGCTGGTGGGGTGGAAAAGTTAAGGTCGGGTGCCTCGACTTGGGCTTACTCTGTACATATGTGTAGAATAATTATATAAATTTAAAAAAAAGAACACAGTCTCTCAGATCTAGGTGCTCACACGGGCAAACTGAATCGACTTGTCTTGTCATTCTGATCAAGAATATATGTACTTTATGGGGCCTGCTATGCTTCCTTCTGGCTGTTACAGTTTTCAGTTTGCCTAAAACATAATATACTTGTATAGTACTATTCAGGTACAGAGTATAAAAACAATAAAGAAAATTGTAATAAAAACTCACACAAAGAACAATTTTGTCGATTATCTGTAGCTCTTATAGTCTCTAAACGGACAGACAAACAGACATGGCTAAACCGACTCATCATGCTGATCAAGAATACATATATCTAATTTTTGGGTCAGCCACGCCTCTTCTTGCCATTTTTTACACAAACCTTATATACACTTGCATATTTCATGTACAGGGTATAATACAAACTTTATAAAAACACTCGCATGATTTCTTTTGGTTCGGTAAAGCCGTCGCAAACGTGTTTGGCGTGTTGATTAGGCCATCAAAGAGCTGAGAGCAATGTAGCAGCCATCTTTGGTTGCCCTTGGCAGAGAAAATACGCCCAGGGGAACTGCTTGATATTGAAGAATGGGGGCCCAGACAGTTGCTGGCTCTTGAGGGCTCATCTGGGTTGTTGCCGGCAGCCAGGCAATGTGTTCAAGTTGCTGTGCTGGCAATGCCACTCCAGAAGTTCGGGTGGAAAATGCGGAACTGCTTGGAGCGCAAATAAAACGAAAATGGCGGAAGCATCCCACAAAAGACAATGAATACGTACAATAAACATTTAGCTGCAATGCACACTTATTGTCTGAGCACTCCAAACTAGAGATGGGAGCGGCTCCCATTTCATAGGCTCAACTAACCAACCCAGACACTTCAGCACAAATCGTAACAGTTGTATATGCCTATTCCTAAAAATTATTCGTAACCTATGCTTATAGTACGCTAATCGGAATAGGAAAAGGAAAAATGGTCGCATTTTTACTTTCCTCTATTTTCCATCCAGTTTCATGAATGGTAGATTGAAACGATGTAATGTTAAAAAATATTAATAAAAACAATATAGATGATAATTGTTTAAGAATATAAATAAAAATGATATGGATATTTGTTTACAAATAT